AGCATCCTGATTTTGATCGTCCATTCATGATCAATACGGATGTATCTGCTACTGCTGTGGTGCTGTGATTTCCCAAACTGACGCTAATGGCGACGATCAACCAATTGTTTTCCCGTCCAAGAAGCTGAACAAGTCAGAACTTAATTGGTCGGCTCACAAGAAGGAGCTCTATGCGAACAAGATCGCATTATCGAAGTGGCCTCACTATGTCTACGGTTCCCGCTTTGATATCATCACCGACAACACGACGTGTCATAGGTTTTGAAGACACCGATCCTGACTGCCAAGTTGATCCGGTGTTGGGACGTTTTGGTCAATTCGACTTCACAGTCCATCGTCCCGGCCGTACGAATGTGGTCGCGGATGCCTTGTCGCGTCCTCCACAGGCCGATGGATGTGTCTATGCATGCCGTGTTCATGCTTGAAATGTGCCTTGTTTCGACCGCTATATTGCAATCTCCTGCGAAACGTGTACTTGCTATAAGTCAAACAACGCAAAATCAATTGGTAAGATGATTCCCATCAAGTCTCCAAAGGAATGCTGGGAGGATGTACCAGCAAGTCGGATCACTTGACTACCTGTTTCCAATGGGGAAGATGCCATCATGACTTGTGTGGATCGTACGTCCAAGCGACCACAGTACTGTACAGTACATCACTACAAACTCCAAAGTTGATGCCCCTCCAGCGGTAAAGGAGTTCTTCAATGCAGTCGTGCGCCACCATGGCTTGCCTTCGGTCATCAACAGCGATAGATAACTCATATTTACAAGCAACTTCTGGCAAGAACTCGATAGACACCACTTGAAGTCGACACTGCAACTAAACTGCGAAAACCAACTTTCGTATTTGAAGAGTCTACCAATGACTACACCAGACCTTTGCTGAACATTGTCGAAAAGTCGTTGATCAAGCTATGAACAACCTAGAAAAGGCTCAAGAGCACCGAAAAATTTACTAAGACAACAAGCGATCCAACTTAACCTTCCAAGAAGGCGATATAATACTTCTTGCGACCCACGAATCCTTTGAAGCATGTCGAAGTTACAACGGCGAAAGAAAAGCCAAAGCTCATGCCGCCCTTCATCGGATATTTTCGCATCATTCGAAAAATCAATTTCAATGCCATAACGCTTCAACTACCCAAGAGAATGCAACGCTTGCATAATGTATTCAACGGAGATCGTCTGAAGATGTCGGAAAACAACACAACCAAGTTCGCCAACCGACCAATTCCAAAAGCAACTTCGATCAACCTGGATGTGTCTGGAAAAGTTCTTTACATCGTCGAACTACTCCTCAAGTCATGTCAATTTAACAGAAGCGCGAATACTTGGTTGAGTGGCAGCTGCATAATGGTATTTGGGAGCTCGAGAAGAATATCAAGCAAGTTTCCCACTTCAAACGGCTCGTGCATGACTTACGCAACGTCAACGCGCTAATCCGACAACTGGGGGAAGGCGTAGTGCCGATCGGCTGTCTCATGCCGATCGGCTGTCGCATGCCGATCCAGGGGTTGTCGGAGATCTTGGGAGAGATCCGCAACTCCCAGTTCCAAATGTTCGCGGCCAATAGAAGCCTCTGGCTCTTACCTAACGGCGGACACTCATCCTCGACCTCGTCACAAGGGCCGAGTGGCAGGAACCCTGGATTGGTACGAGGCTAGCTCATAAAACATCCAGCGTCCCTTCGAAGGATGTGCTAGGATATGCGTGGGCTAGAGAATTTATATTCTATAGGAGTACGTAGATACTGTAGATGAGAAAGCTAGCCAGAACGCCAAGTTCACTTTCCAAATGCAC